TTAATCTTTTAATCTCCATCGGTTCCTCTTCTACACTATATTCATTCCTCATGATTCTTTAAATAAATTGTTGATCTAACTACCTATTAATTTTCATTGACGGGATGATCAACCATAAACACACTTGAAGTGCGGGTTGGTTGGGTTAACGTGTTGTGTCAATGGATAACTTAATTACTTAACTACATTTTAGTTGATTATATACTACGGAGTAAAAAAGATAAGTTCTAACAATGACTTATTCACAACTTGATAAGCTAAGCTAAAAAAAAAACATTACGTTAGTCACACTGTGAGCCCACTTCACAAAGTTAGTATGATCGATGCCTTGAGGCTTGAGATGCTTACCTAATATGTGAGAAAATCTCACGTTCCTCAAATCACGAGGAAAAAAAATTCGTGAGGGGGTTCAAAGCTAAGATAGTGTAGTTTTTCTCACGAGGAGTGCATACTCTAGTATCAAAGAGGTACTTTGTTCAAATTGACTATTTGGTTACAACATATAATGTCGGCAAAATAGTGAGTTTGTACTAATTAATTAATTGTTCAAAATCAACTTGATTAAAGATTTGATAAACTTGAATTGAATTTGATGGATTTTAAATTTCCAATCAATGAACAAATGAAATTTATTTCATAACCTTATGTATGAGGGAGGCAGCTTCAAGTTGTAGGGCTTCATTCTGATTGAACACTTCTGATCAGTGTTTAGGAGTTTAGGGTCCATTTCATTGCAATTTAAAATAATTACTTGTATTAGATTATACGTGACACTATGCTTATGCTGTTAGTATAGCTATTTCAGCAATTGCAAGTTTTGTAAAGCAATGAAATATATACATGTACTGTAACTTTATTGAGTAACGTCAGCCTATGCTATAGGACATATTGTTAATATAAGTAGTAACTCCTAAGGGGGTGTTTGGTAAATGAGAATTGAGGGTGGGATTGGGAGTTTTAATCCCAATATAAAAAATAAGTCTGGTTTGATTGATGGGAATGGGAATAAAAAGGGGTTTGGGAATAGGATGGATTTTATATGGGTGAATTCCCACCCTTTTATTACCTAGGGAGGGTAGGTAATAAATGGATGAGAATGGGAATAGGATGAAAATGACATTTTTGTCATTAATGAAAAGAATGAAATAATAATCTCAGTAAGGGAATTTTTGTAAAATTGTTATTTATTCTTTATATATTCCCACCCACTATCCAAACATGGTATTGACATATTTTCATGTATTCCCATCAATTAATTCCCAATTCCATTTTCATCTTTTAATCCTCAAACTTCCATTCCCACAATCCAAACGCCCCGTAAGGTTATAAACTGTTTATCTTGATCTCATAACATCATCCAATGTAAAACAATTCACATGTGTTTATTTTGTTCTCTAATGTTCCACTTGATGACGGTAGATACACAATTTAATTAAGAATCATTGACGAATGTGAATGGGTGTAAGATAAAGTAAGAAAAAAATATAAAAAAAAATGAGTTTGTACTGTATAAAACAGTGAGCGAAATAAAGAGAATGCGTATGGAAAAGAAAATATACGTAATAATTATTGTGGGATTAAAGTGGTAAGATGATAAAAGAAACATGTCAAAAACAGAATGAAGTGAAGTGAGTAAATTTAAAAAGACTGATTTAATGTGAAAAGTGAGCAAAACAAAAAAAAAACGAGCAGAACAATTTTTTAAGATTATGTATTTGAGATCTCAACAATTTTCGGATATCACCTCTAAGATGATAAGAAGTACGAGTTCATGTTTTTCCAAGATTCAAATTCATTTCGACAAACTCTCTTGCTCTAAAAATGTTTGACGACAATTTTTCATTACACAAATCATTATTCAACAACAATTTTTCCCTTTTGATATGATGTCTCTTTGCAAGGTTTAAAAAAAATGAACAAGAATGCAATTCTCCAAGTAAAAAGAAGGTAAATTAAAGCTACAAATGTGATACAACTTTTGGCTTTTGTTCCTTGACATATGGACACATCAGTGAAAGAACTGTCACACGCGTCTCATACTCGGTCTAATTAAGATGTTAAAAATAACTTCTACAACTATATTTATATTTCTAATATGACAAAATTATTATGTGATATATAGTCTATTTGATACCAATTAGATGTTGATGTAGTGGTGATTGAGAATATACTTGGTAGAGATGACTCGTGTTTGATCCCGGAATAACAAATGGAAGGGGATTATAACCTAATCACCCAAAACTTATCCCCAAATCCGGATTAATCATGAAGGTGAGTTGTTGGGTGGAACACCAAATCCGATATATAGTTTATTTGATCCTTCTATGAATTTGGAATTTTGTCATTGTTTGTGGAATGAGGATGTAGTAAAGGTATGTTAAATTAGTATCACGTTTTCCAATGGGATTATGATTTGTCTATGTGTATAATTTGCCTCATCTTAGTGAACGTGGAATCATGTAGTAATTTTCTTAATAATAAACGGTCGAAGTGGCAAATTGTCCCCATGATCCTTAATAATTGTGCAAAACTAGTTCTTTAGTCCATTGAGTTGGAAGTGTTGGGTCTAGGGTAGCTAGTGGGGCTAGAGGATATATTGAGATAAGTGTGGGAGAGGCCGGTTGCTAATGAGGTGGCATTGGAGGAGGTTAGGGTGGCAATGTTGATCCAAGTGGTGGTGGTTGGGGCGATGGTTGCCAATATGTGGTTGCAGAGTGGTAGGGGCATAGTTAAAATTAGGGAAGAGAAGAGAAGAAAAAAAAAATAGGTTATGAATTTCCGTACTTATCTTTAAAAGTAGATATTTCATAATTTTTGGAATTTGAAAACGATTACTTCAATGATATTAGTTGGTCAAAATTAAAGATAATTTTCCACTTAAAAGTTTACATATATAAGGATTTTTTTTTTTTTTTTTTTTTTTTTTTTTTTTTTTTTTTGTGACAAAACATATGTAAGGATGAAAATGTGGAAGTTTGTACAAAAAATTTTAACAACATAACGTTTCTTTTATGAAACTCCAAAACCTTGTTGTAGTGTGTGACATATTGGAAAACTAACATTTGTAGTAGCAAGTAATTGAAAAAAGTAGATACCTTTCCTATATGTGCGGATGTGGCTAATGAATATACCGTTTTTTATACTTAAATTAAATTTAAAATTAAATCTATTACCTCATCTAATTACAATGAAGTAGCTGATCGTTAGCTTGCTAAGCTTGATGCAAATTTTGTACATGTTTTTGACAAATTTTCTTTGACCCGTATTGCATTTTTTTACTACTTGATTTTACATTCAACAAAAGACCTGATTTTACATCATTAAATCATTATTCGTACTAATACCTAAGCCTTAAACAAGCTGATTTTCTTACATTACCAACCTTCTACTTCAATATCTTTTAGAAACGAAAAATTATTGTTGAACATATCTTTAACCAACCCTAGTATTGTGATGATCAAAACGTGAAAATTGGTATCAGAGCCAAAATAAATCGTTACACTTAGGCCCCGTTCTTTAGAGCTGCTTTGCTCTGCTCTGCTCTGCTGAAATCTGTTTTGCTCTGCTCTGTCCTGCTCTACTTAAAATTAATACTTAATATTGAATTATTATAATAATAATTAATATTTAATAATAATAATTAATATTTAATAAGAATAATAATAAATAAATAATATTTAATAATAATAAATAAATAATATTTAATAAAAATAATAATTAATACTTAATAATAATAATAATAATAATAATAATAACAATAATTAATTATTGATATTTAATAAAAATAATAATGATAACAATTAATTGTTAATATTTAATAATAATAAATTATTAATAGTAATAATATTAATAATAATAATTAATATTTAATAATAATAATAATACTTAATAACTAATAATATTAATTATAATAAAAATAATTGATTTTTATAATAAAAATTAATATTAATATAATAGCTAATATTTAAAAATAATACTAATTATGAATTTTTAATAATAATAATAATAATTAAATAATATTTAATAATAATTATTATTATAATTAATATAATAATAATAATAATAAATATTTAACTTTAAAAATTTAATGATTATAATAATAATGCGATAATATTAGTAGTAGTAGTAGTAGTAATAATAATAATAATAATAATAATAATAATAATAATAATAATAATCAAATCTGCTCTGCTCGGCTGAAATCTGCTCTGCTCTGCCCAGAAGCTCAAAAGAACAGGGCCTTAGTCGTATTACTATTTGTACTCCACAAGACTCCTGTTTAACCAAATAATGGTATAAACTAGGGATGTTTGTGGGGCGGGGATGGGTCTTGATTTGGCGGGTGGTGGGGCGGGGATGGGGATAAAAACCATACCTGCCATGAGTGATGGGGCGGGGGTGGATTTAAAGTTGTACCCGCCCCATCCCCTCCCTGCCCCACCCGCTCCACTTCGTACCCGCCCCATCCCCACTTCATACCCACGTCTATATATCTTTAAAAGCAAAATTATATACTTCTATACTATTTTATAAAATAATTACGTGAAATAAAATATTAGTTATAATACTTTGTAATATACTTATATTATAAATAAAAAGGTGTGTAATTTTAAGAATGTTTTTTTTATTATTATAATCTGTATTAATTATGTAGGATCGTGTATTTGAGAGACGAAGATTAGGTAGGGATTAGGCGGGTCTTTGGTGGGGATGGATATCCAAGTGGAGGGTGGGGCGGTGATGGTTTTGGAGTTGTATCCGCCAGGGCGGGGATGGGGATGAAATTGGATCCGCCTCGAGAATGAAGATGGGTATGAAAATGTTAGGTGGGGATGGGGATGGAGATGGAAAGGCCAACATTCGATCCGCCACACCCCATTGACATCCCTAGTAAAAACAATTAAACCATAGTTCACCCAAAATAGTTTACGTGTAAAAAAATGTAGTACCCCAATATACATAATGTGTGTATGTTATAGATTGTGGCATTTCCTTTTGGTTCACCACCAAATAGACACCTCATCATCAAAGCTTATTGCTATTGCTTGCTCCCCTTTCTTTAAGAAACGTACACCAAAGCCCAAAACAAGAGAGAATTGAGGAAAGAGAGAGAATTCCTCTCTCACTTACAACTATTCCCAAATTTCTATCTTTTTATTTATTTTTTCATTTTAAACAAACCCCAACAAATTTCCTATTTCTTCTCCCAAAAAATCAAATTCCCTTAAATTTTATATGATATATTTTCCCATGGATCATTATCATCATCCAATTACAAGATAAAAAAGTTGACACCCTGAAGATTTTATTTTTCTGGATTCCATCCTAATTATAAGGTCCAATTTTCATTAAATTTCGTGTAAATTCAGTCATTAAATTTCGTGTAAATTCAGGCAATTAGTTGAAGGATGTATATGAGTCTGATTTTTTCTGGGGTTTTTTTTGATCATATGTAATCTTCATTTCCCATAATTATTTTTGCTTGATCTGTTGTGATCATATTGTACATACATAATTGAATTGAAATTAAATTAGTTGTTAATTTTGTTAATTTTATGTCGTTTATTTTGTGTTGATGACAGTTTATTTACTAATCTAACTACATGATCAAAATTAAAACTTCGATTACTATTTGTATAAGTAAAAGCCCCACTTTGTTCCCCTGTTTTTTTTGGGTAACTTTAAGATCACTCTGTATGCCTTTATTTTTTGTTTATTGATCAAAGTTTCAATTTTTATTTACTAATTTGATCGATCATAGATTGATTTTTGCTCTGCAAATTACTCTAATTCGAAGTATTATGATCATCATGTAAAAGTTTGCTTTTATTTTTTTATTTCTGTTGTTGATTGTTTTGGGTGTAATTTGGTCAATTAAATGAAATTCTAAACTTGGATACCTATTTGCCCAATTGGGTATTGTTTAATTTCCATGCAATTGAAAGTTTCTGATGAGATGATGGGAATCCATGACATGTACTGAAACTTTTAATTGTTTTTTTGGAATATTTGGTTGTGTTTTTTGTTATAATCAAAGAGAATTTGTTCTTTGATTATTGTTTTTTCATAAATACGCGGATAATTGTACCCTACAGCTTTGTGATTGCGTGATTATACACTTCTTTCGTCCCGAATTAATTGTCACATAGATAGCTAATACGAAGTATTGAACTAGAACTGGTAATGTGACAACTAAATCCGAGTCGTGAAGATAGTATAGTCATTAGATTGTTTCTTATTGTATGCGGTGCTTTAATTAATTTTTGTGCATGTCATCATTCTATGGCCATTATGAATATTGTTTTTCATGTGAGTGGAAAGTTTGATTATGACTTATTTCGCTTGTAGGTTCAGGTGCTGCTAACTATTGAATAGTATAAACTCGAGGTAGTTATTTTCACCATCATTTGATCAATGTTGGAGAAATTGCATTCTTGAATTTTATTGTAATTTATAAAGTATTGCATTTTGTGATAATGTTTGATTGTGTAAATTTACAGAAATTTGTTTGGTTGCTGTTAATTGATAAGCTTGGGCACTGCAAAGAATTCAGCAGTGCCCGACATGGATGCCACGACAAGTGGGACTGAGACAATTCAATACTGCAATATCCCTGAACAACCCATTATTGGATCGCTTGTTACCTCGCCTAGACCGGCATTTCTTCGTCAAGTAAGACATTGCTTTGGGGACTTGGTCCCTGGGGAATTTCCCTTGGCAGCTAACCCTTCCATCGTTCTTCATGTCCTTACAGCGTCTAATTTAGACCCCCAAGACCTCGCGAAATTAGAGGCAAGTCTTCCTATAGCCTTAACTTTTCCAATATGTATCCTACTAGTGAAATGTGAATTGATGATGCTGCTGATTTGAATTGGGGTTTTGTTTTTGTTTATCAGGTAACTTGTTCATTCTTTAGGCACCCGGCAAACTTTGCCCCTGACTATAATTTATCAATTGCTGAGCTTGCTGCTCACGATATGTGCCAAAAGAGAGCCATATTTAGACCAATGACCCCTGAACAAAAGGAAGATTTGAAGCAAAGGTGTGGGGGATCATGGAAACTAGTACTTAGGTATTTGTTAGCTGGTGAAGCTTGCTGTAGGAGAGAGAAGTCGCAAGCAATAGCTGGGCCGGGACACAGCATTGCTGTGACTTCAACTGGAACTGTTTACTCCTTTGGCTCTAATAGTTCAGGACAGCTTGGTCACGGCCTTACACCTGAAGGGAACTCTGCTGATGAGTATCAGCCTCGCTTGATAAGGTTGGAAATTTCTTTTATAGATGATTATGATTGAATGGGAAATTCTGTGCGGAAGGAAAATTAACAGAATTCGTTGTTGTGCAGGTCCCTGCAGGGCATCCGGATTATCCAAGCTACTGCTGGGGCTGGGAGGACAATGTTGATCAGTGATACTGGAAAAGTTTTTGCCTTCGGAAAAGACTCGTTTGGGGAAGCTGAATATGGTGTTCAAGGTTCTAGAATAGTAAATACCCCACAACTTGTTGAGTCCTTGAAGGACATCTTTGTAGTTCAAGCTGCTATTGGAAATTTCTTCACAGCTGTATTGTCAAGAGAAGGAAGGGTTTATACTTTTTCATGGGGTAGTGATGGGAAACTCGGTCACCAAACAGATCCTAATGATGTGCAACCGCGCCCTTTATTAGGTGCACTTGAGAATATACCGGTTGTGCAGATTGCAGCTGGATATTGCTATCTTCTTGCTCTTGCTTGTCAGCCTGGTGGCATGTAAGCAATTTCTTCGCCCCTTTTAGCTAATGTTTATATTCATTGGGTTTCTTTAAACTTGGAACATTGGTTACCTTTTTTTTTATATAATATTGATTGCAATAAGTGTACTTGGAATATGGGTTTTTTTGCACTGTTAAAATCCTAGTAGAACTAAGTGAATGCTAGTCAGCTACAGAGTAGTTGTGTTGATATGTACAATGACATGAACTGTTATCTGGCATTTTTGTTTGTCAGGTCTGTGTATTCTGTGGGGTGTGGTTTGGGAGGAAAGCTTGGCCATGGTTCAAGAACAGATGAAAAATATCCTCGATTGATTGAGCAATTCCAGACATTGAATATTCAACCCATGGTTGTGGCTGCCGGTGCTTGGCATGCAGCTGTTGTCGGTAAGGATGGAAGGGTTTGTACATGGGGTTGGGGACGTTATGGATGTCTAGGTCATGGAAATGAAGATTGTGAATCCGCTCCTAAGGTGGTGGAAGGGTTGACTGAGGTCAAGGCAATTCATGTTGCCACAGGCGATTACACCACTTTTGTAGTGTCAGATAATGGCGATGTATATTCGTTTGGTTGTGGAGAATCTTCAAGCCTTGGACACTATGATGGGACTGATGGAGAGGTTTGAATTCTTTGAACTTCATTCTTTTTTGTCAAGTTTCTTTTGTTACTTTTTGGTTGTGTTAGGTAAATTAAACTTTACAGTATTTGTTAAGTGTTAATTTTACAATATCATGTTTTATTTTATATGCACGTAGAAGTTAGAACCCAACTATACCGGTAAGCATCAATGTTTAGTGAAATCACCTTTGAATAAGGTGGTGCTTCTAATTTGAAATTTCTATGTACATAAACTTTAGTGGACGGATTTACTTGGTTCAATATCTGGTAGATTCCCACCAAGATTAGAAGTAAAACAAAGCTTTAAAAGGGAGTACTACATTATATAGAATTCACCAATTCACTATGGCTTCATTATTCTCATAATTGGGCACATATTTTTTTTAGCCATGAGCTCATACTATATGTTATTATTGTGAGTCCATGAACTCTGATATTGTTGGAAAATTGTTAGTCAATCTTGCAGTTGTCTTTTCATTTCATTTAGGTGTTTTTTTTTGCTTGAAACCCTTATTTGTTTGCCAATCTTAACACTGCTTTTACCTCCCATTTCAATGTTTATGCATTTATCTCTCAGTGTTTGATACATTTTATTCCATATAGGGGAATCGACATGCTAATGTACTTAAGCCAGAGCTAGTGACATCTTTGAAGCAAGTAAAAGAACGAGTAGTGCAAATAAGTTTGACTAATTCTATTTTTTGGAATGCCCACACATTTGCGCTCACTGAATCTGGAAAACTCTATGCATTTGGTGCTGGCGACAAAGGACAACTAGGTGCAAAGCTTGGAGAGAATCAAATTGAAAGGGGGAGTCCAGAGCTAGTTGAAATTGACCTTAGTAGTTAGCCACACACTAATCAGTTGCTTTCTCCTCTCATTTGCAAAGTTTATATTGCCATCATTTAAACTGCATGGTCTTATTGTGTAGATTTCTGTACATAGCCAAAAAAACAAAAGTAAGATGGTTTAATTTGAAGTTGAAGTTAGGGTTAGAAGGCGCTATCAAGCAAAATGATTTGCATTATGGACTCCTGAAATACCAAAACTCGATGGACACTTATGGTGTCGAAGTTTATTTATTTGAATAGTTTCTAGTAATTTATTTTTAATATCTAATCTTGAAGCAAATACTTAGTTAATTCTGTACCGATTTAGCCAAAATTTAACCAATTTTTATAGCTTAATTGTTGAATGCTTGTAATATCTATAATTAGTTCTTATTCTGTTCAATAGTAAAGGAGAGGTGAAGGGAGTTGGAAAATCATTTACCAAAAGACTAAAGGTATGTTCTCTTCGGCTTAATTTAGCTCACTTCAGTTTCTAATTTCCTTCTCTCATAAACAATTCTTTTAAGCTTTATTCAGTTTAATTCAGCCTCAATCAGTTCAGTTCAGTTGTTTTCAGTAAATCAGAACAGGAACTAAGACGTTGTTCACCTCACTTTATTCTAAAATTATTGTTACTGATCTTTATCTTATTATATTTCTTTAAAGTTATTTTTTTTTACTTAGTTATTTCTAATGAATTGAAATTATTTTCAGGGGTGGGGAAGTAAAAAGTTAGTTGGTGTCCAAAATATGAACTACCAATCATAATTTTATTTTCTTTTATATTTTAGAGTGTTTAAGTTATATATATCAATACTTATATACTACAGTAATCCCCATCATTATCCCCATAATACACAGGTTAACATATCAGGAAAAAAAAAATCGGCTAAGAAAACTTTGTTATTATTACTCCCTCCGTTTTTAAATACTTGCTCAATTTCCTTTTTGGAAAGCTTTTACAATATTTAATTCATTTTTCACACTTAGTGGACCCAACATAATACTCTCTCTCCTCTTATTCTTCCACTACTTTGGCTTTTTATAATTTTTTATTCTTTCAACTACCCTATTAAATGGAGCAAGTATTTAAAAACGGAGGGAGTAATTTTTTAAATGTTTATTTTTTACATTTTTTTTTTGTTATAAAAAAGGATATTCTCAAAAAGGAAGAAGTTTGTTAAGATATCTAATTATTAATACTTTTGAAAATTTGAAAAAAAAAAGTTTGTTACTGAACTTGGGCTAGTTACATATTAATAGTATATTACTAGTTCAAAACCCGTGCTATGCACGGTTTTACATGGGTAAATTTAAGTTTGTCTCTGAGATAAATCTGTGAATTTATTTCCTCTCAATAATCATAAAAGTAAAATAATAGAGTGGCACGGATTTCAATGTATAAAGTTATGAGAGGAGATAAATACTAGAAGGTTAATCTGTGAGATTACTAGGGCTCCCTTGTTCTACAATATCATTTTATAATTCGTTTTATTAGTACAAAACCAAATCATAAGAAGTAAAAAAAAATAAAGCACAATAAATATTATGATATACCATTTGATAATATCATAAGTAGTATTTTATATTATTATGTAATAAATCTTATTCTTTAGCACTATGTTTTTTTAGGTATCAATCCCTAAATATAAAACCAAAACTTCTCTTTAAGATGTATGGTAACAAATTTCATTTTTTTTTTTAAAAAAAAGTAACAATTTTTTTGGCGAGAAATTTTTTTATGAGATGATGCCACATGTACTTTAGGGATATGGGATTACTTGGTTCTACATGGGTAAATTCAAGTTTCTCCCTGAGATAAATGTGAATTTATCTCCTCTCAATAATGATAAAAGTAAAATAATAAAGTGACACAAATTTCAATGCATAAAGTTGTGAGTGGAGATAAACTAGAAGGTTGATATGTGAGATCAACTGGGGCTCCCTTGTTCTGCAATATTATTTTATTAGAAATTGTACAAAACGAAATCATAAGAAGTAAAAAAAAACATTAAAAAAAATAAATATTATGATATACCATAACATTAATAGTTTTTTTTTATAATATCATAAGTAGTATTTTATATTATTACGTAATATTTCTTATTATTTAGCACTATATTTTTTAGTTATCAATCCCTAAATATAAAACCAAAACTTTTTAGATATATAGTAACAAACTTCATTAAAAAAAAAATTATAATTACGTGTAATTTAAGGATAACTACGAGCATTACTTTAGTATATAAGTATAGATTTTTTATTTTTAATTGAATTAAAAATTTAATATAATCATATATATATGTGCGCGCTTTTATATAATTGCAAAAATTTATATCTTTTTAAGTGACTACTTGTGTTATATACTTACCCTAGCAACTATTCATTTTGCATGTATTTTCTAATAAACGAATATTGAAATAATATTGTAAAATTACTATAAAAATGTGTATGACACATGTTGTGATATATATATATTTCGAGTATATTTTGTTACAAAGTGTTTATTTTATTTTACTTAATAAGCATGATTTTTTTTTCTTTCTCTCACATTGCTATTCTTCTTTTACTTTCCTTCCCTTTCCTTTTGTTTTATTATTATTTCAAAATGCTGTTTTACAAATTTTATTTTAAATGAGATTTTATGCTTTTCTTTTCTTATATTTAGGTTAGTTTTTATTCTGTACTATTTAATTTAAAAATAGATTTTGTTGATATTTGAATACCACTCTTCCATAGGCAACAAAAATTATGATCACACACTCTTTCACATATAAATAAATTAAATCCATGCCATTATCACAAGTAACAATAACTTTTTAAGTAATCAAAATATTTTCAATTTAGAATAAACGTGTTATTGTTGAGTTTACATCTATTATTGCTCCTTGTTTCCTAAATAAATAAAGTTCTACTCATCATGAGCACATGATTTTATGATAGGTTTTGTAGATATAGGTGATTAAATATGATTTGAAAAGTATTGGGATGGAGATGAGATAAACTTGCTAATTGAAATTGTCAGATAATGTAAACTCCTTGATCAGAGTGATTTTCATTGATCAACATTTATAGGGTTACAATGAGAAATCTAATCATATTAGGTAACATAAGATATGTATAGATATATATCAAAGATAATCTAATACAAAATATATCCTAAACCTAAGATGAGAATATTCTATGGATATTCTCTATCACACCCCCGCAGTAGGAGCGGGAGAAAATCATATGCTCAGACTGGAACTGAATCACGCATCGAGCGGTAATAAGGATAGTATGGTAACCCATGATCAAAAGGGAAGTAGTAGACATGTGCCGGTGATGACGTTGAGAAGCAACAACCACGATCTACGTAGAGTAGAGATAAGCACTGCTAGGCCGGAGGAGAAGGAGAAGAGCCGCACACAGACTTGGGCTAAGTTGCAGATCCAAAGAAGAAGAAGCTAAGGGATCAAACCATCATCGGGGAGAAGACACTACAATACTACGTGAAATCACAATTGAAGAAAAACAAATAAAATTGCGCAAGAAAAATATTAAATTCCACCGCTTGAAATTAATCAATTCTCAAAAGAGAAACCTAGGTAGCAAGAATCAATACTCCACAAAGATTCCAAGTGCTGCAACAATAAGAGGAGCCAACTTGGTAGCAAAAGAGATGTGCAAAAGTTGACCTTATTCTAGTATACCATCACCAAAACAAAATCTATGTGATTATGTGTAGAAAAACCAATGGGGCAATGTAAGAATTATTGTTGGTCATGAGGAGGTGGAAATAGAGTGCGGCACATGGAGTAGGTTGGCAAAAATTGGTACTGCCAGTAGTGGGAGGCGGTAGTGTATGCGATTGCCACCAATGATGGAGGCGGCTTTCGCGGTTGCTACTATCGGTGGGAGGCACAAGGCTACATAAAGATTCTAAAAAAAAAAACTTTGAGAAAAGAAAAAAAAATTATATGTGTGTGTGTTTGCGGAAGCATAAAAAATCTGTGTATATCCCGCCGGTGGGTTTAATTTTCTAACCCACCGGCAGTGTGAGAATTTTTGTATATGATCCCAAGATCTCACCTAAGCTGTGATACCATGTTAGTGGACCAACTCAACCAAAATCTTAAACTGATGGTTGAGGCCCACGAATATGTTTTATACTCTATCACTCCTCCTCACACGAGAGCCCGGTTGGGCTAGTGTGGATGCAGCATGGGCCCTCCTCATACCCTGCGCTTAATATTCCACTTGAAAGTGGGGGTGGATGAGATTCGAACCCGTGACCTTTGTGTCACGCTGGCTCCGATACCATGTTAGAGGACCAACTCAACCAAAAGCTTAAACTGATGGTTGAGGCTCAGGAATATGTTTTATACTCTATCAGAAATAATGGACATAGAAATGAGAGCTTTTCTACGAAATAAATTAAATTAAATAAAAAAATTGACAAATTAAAATTGTTTTTCAAATAAAAAGAAAAAAAATAATGGTATATATATAGTATTTGATTGAAAGTGATCTTGAAATAATGTTTGGTTTTAAATGTTGCCACTTAGAGCAAAGTCCTATATATAAACTTTTTTATCTTAAGCAATTGATGTATTGAAGTAGATATTTGTTTAAAGTATTAGGTTGTGGAGGTGAATCTAGACATGTCTTCACCACCTCCCTCCAATGTGGCATCTTTCAGCAGGGGCGGTTTCAGGAATTGCTTGTTTGGGTTCGATCTCTCCAAACAAATACAGATATCAAATATCACAATTCAAAATAAAATTTGCATTGGCTAATTCGAGTGTGCACAATACATATCAATTACGTAACAAACAACAACAATAACAAAAAGTTTATAGGACATTTTGTGAAAAAACTACCTTATAAAGCACTTTTTTTGCGAGAAACTACTTAATAAAAAACATGTTGTAAGAAACTACCTTATAAAAGGGTCAATGTTGTAAGAGACTACCATTGGTCGGATCGGAAAGTCATCTCTGACTTTCATTTTCCGGCGTTGACTACATCACATGCCAATCAGGTGACTTTTAATTCACCATTTCCTTCCTTTTTTCTTAATTCGTACGTGATGTGGTCAACGCCGGAAAATAAAAATTAATGATAACTTTTCGATCAAGGGTAGTCTCTTACAACATTTACCCTTTTATAAGGTAGTTTTTTACAATATATTTTTTTTATTAGGTAATTTCTCGCAAAAAAAGTGCTTTATATGGTAGTTTTTCAAAAAAATATCCTTAACTAAATTATAATTGAACTCAACTTTCTATGATTTTTGCAATTTTGACACACATTCTTTCCAAAATACTTTAAGCCTTTCATCTCCAAACTGTAAAATACAATGTCAGAAT